GTTTTGTCCTGGTTTGGTCCAGTAACTCCAGTAACACATGGAGCGTGCACGACGTGTCTAGGAGCATGCACATGTCTAGGAGACCTCAGTGAAGTCGGCCCCCATCAAACGCACACCTACACGAAACTATGTCAATCGTTTGTGTTCCGTTTGACGTCATCCAGCCCCTCAGAATGTGAAACAGCCTCAAAATAGGTAGAAAATTATATGAAACCTTTGTATTTTGTCTCGCTGTTTTGTGGTATGTATTATTATATAAAATATGAATCAAAATCAAGTTCCTAAAGACTGATCCAGACTTTTCCACAGCCTCAGATCATTTCTCTTCACTAGTTTTGTGGAGTTTTGTTAAAGTTGCTGCCGTCAACTGAGCGGAAATCACATTATATAATTTCAGCAAAAATAATAATGAATCATTTTAGAAATATACTCGCACAAATGAAAACAGTCACAGCACAAACCAAATACAAACAATTCTGCTGTTTTGAGGCTGTTTCACATTTTGAGGGTCTGGACAACATCATCACCACAAATAAAACTGTTCATATGTCAATCACACAAACCAAACTTTTTTCAGCACAAGTGAAGCACAAACGATTGACTCCATTTTGTGTGGTTTTAGAGCATTTTGAAGCTTCCTGGAGGCTGCTGACCACAAATTCACCTATAAAAGTATCTCCAAAACTAAAGTATCACAAATGAAACTTTTTTCAGCACAAACGACTGACATCAGTTTTTGTGTATGTGTGAGTTTGATGGGGGGCCAACTTCAGGCAGGTGTCTAGGAGTGCGCACGTGTCTAGGAGTGTGCACGTCCGTACCATTAGCTGTAATCAGTGTGTTTATTTTGCTGTTGGTGCTCTGGGCTGTGGTCCATTCCCACAGCCCTTTGCCTCTGCAGCTCGTCCTGATTATCTCTCAATGTTTGATTTTTCACACTTCTGGTTCAAACGAGTTTTTATACACCAAACTCGGAGTCTAAGCGTGCACGTCACATTAGAATATTCTTTTTAACACAAGTGTGCCTCTGAAATCCTGCTCCGTGCCTCATCCGCAATCAGAGGAGTTCATTTTAATGGGACGCTCTCACTGCTTTGGGCTGCTGGCCACTTCACCGTTCAGACTCATTACTGACAAGTGAAAAACAAAATGATTCACAACTGATAGGATTTTTGTTGTTTTTGTTATGGAGTCCTTGTTTTTGCTATTATATTCACACAGATCTCAAACATAACATACATTTTACATTTCTGACTGTAAAAATATCAGATTATTTCCATCTGGAAAGAAAGTATAATGTTGATACAGTTTTTGTACTTTTTTTTAAGTGGACCTATGGTGCAAACTGGACTTTTCAGAGCTTTTAACCACATTCTCGTAGTTTCTTCTCATTGACCCTCTGAAGTTGTATTTGGAGTGATTCTTGTGTGTTTCAGTCATCTTTATTCTCCTGTGTTTAAGACGTCATTTTGCAGATCTCCCTTCATTTTCAGCTGCACTGGTACACGCCCACTGTGACGTCCACACTTCCTTCTCCAGTCTGATGTTCTTAATCGGTGATACTTGTAGGATTGGGCAGCGTTGTGTCATCATTTTGGTCCAAATGTAAAAAAAAAAATGCTCTGGTCTAGTGTGATGTGCAGCTATCCACAGGAGGGGCCCACAGCCTGGTATAGTCTTGGTATAGTCTTGGTTTAGTCTTGGTTTAGTCTTGGTTTAGTCTTGGTTATAGTCTTGGTTTAGTCTTGGTTTAGTCTTGGTTTAGTCTTGGTTTAGTCTTGGTTTAGTCTTGGTTTAGTCCTGGTTCAGTCCATGCGGCACTTTGTAGTCATGACGTTTACAGCCACATCAGCTCCCACTGAACACCAATTTTCTCACACAGAATCAGTTCACTTGTTTCTTTTATTAGAATCATTTTAGGAGAGGAGTTTACTCGAACATGTATAAATGGGGAAAAAAAACACAACTCCAGGTACAGGGGTGTGAAAAAGTGTTTGTCCTCTTACCATTTCAGATCAAGCTAACTTCAATATTAGACAAAGATAAATCACAAGTAAACACAAAATGCAGTTTTAAGTGTCGATTTATTTATTAAGGGAAAAAAGCCATTGAACCTACGTGGCCCATGTGAAAAGGTAATTGCCCCCTAAACCTAAGAACTGGTTGAACCTCCCTATGCAGCAACAACTGAAGTCAAGTGTTTGTGAGTCTTTCACATCTCTGTGGTGGAATTTTTGCCCAGTCTTCTTTGCAGAATTATTTTAAATCAGCCACATCGGGTCTCCAAGCATGAAGCACCTTTTTAAGGTCATACCACAGCATGTCATTTAGGTTCAGGTCAGGTCTGGACTTTGCTTAGCTCACTCCAAAACCCTCATTTATTATTTTTTTAATCCATTCAGAAGTGGACTTGCTGGTGTGCTTTGGATCATTGTCCTGCTGCAGAACCCAAGTGCGCTTCAGTTTGACATCACCACCTGATGGCCGGACATTCTCCTTCAGGATTTGTTGGCAGAGTAGAGTTCATGGTTCCTTCAATCACAGCGTCATCCAGGTCCTGAAGCAGCAAAGCCCTAAACCATGACACCACCACCATGTTTCACTGTTGGAATCATGTTCTTTTTATCAAATGCTGTGTTCATTTTACACCAGATTCACTCCTTCCATATACATTTGATTTGACATGATGTGTTGGGTTCAGTCTGGCCTACTTCACGTTGTCACACAGGTTCTATTTGTGTGATCTCTTGATTTAAAGTTCTGGCAGCATCAGGCCTGGGTGTGGCTCTGAAACTCAAGTCAATTTTCCACAATAATATGATTAATTACAGTTACCTCATCATTTAACAAGAGGGGCTTTTTCACAGTAACAACATTCTTGTGCCTTAATAAAGTTTCAGTTGAAGTGTCAGTTGACTGCTGTGAGCTCTGTGAAACTTTGACCTGTGTAATCTGATCTGATCCTCTGGACTTTGAGAGGTTTGGACTCGTGTTTGTCTGCCGTTTGTCCATGTTCCGTTCGTGCCTCTGTCGTCACCATGAGAAGCGGGAAATCTGAGAAAATCCTCCAAAATCTGAGATGTGGTTCCTACATTTAGTTTTGAAGAAGAACTTGTTTATTTGTGTTTGCTGTGACGTCATTCAGTGTCTCACAACGTTCTCAGAAGATGAAGTTACAAAAAAAGAAGCGAGTGCAATGTGCAAGAAAAAGCGAGTGCAATGTGCCACTTCTAGACACGACTGAGCAACTGAGTCACTGCGAACACGCCGACAATCCAGCGGTCCCAGACAACACCCTCCCTACACGCCACAACTGAACAAAGCCCAGAGTCACCGTGAATGCCACAAACAAACAAAACCACTCACCCATCACACTGTTGTGTTTCTTTTGAAGTCCAGTGCGGTTTATTTGTGAAAAAGGTTCAAAATTAGACCATTTAATTACAGCGCGTGTCTTATAATCCAGAGTGACTAATAGCCCGGAAAATACGGTACATAATTTTGGGTGAATATAACATTTTCAAAACAATAAAAGGAACATGGTGATCTACATATGTGATGTGTTACAGTGAAGTCATATACCCCCTCTTTAATACCCCCTCTCTAATACTCCCTCTCTAATGCCACACAAGCAGGTCACAGCCTTCCCCAAGAAAAGTTCCATACATAGTGCAAGTTACAGAGCTGAATGATTTTGGAAGGATATATAGCTCTCCCAGACTGATGGTATTGTATACGATATTTGGGAATATGTTTTAGATAACCTCACAGAACTTTACAAACATAAAAGATAGAAACTTTTTTTTTCCTTGAAATGCTGACAGTTCCAGCTTTCCGAGCATTATCCTACGTCACGAGCTGCGTGATGATGTCAGGAAAACGAGTGTCCAGTAGGAACTTTGTTTTGGGCCAAATTCATGCACTCCGTCCGTTTTGATTGGTCCAAACTTTGCCGAAGAGTGTAGTGAGTGAAAATGTTCGATGCTCCAAGTGTCTGGGTTCGTAACAATTGAAAAAGTTGCTCTAAGTGCAGAGATTTCTCAAATAAATGGCAAATTATGCATCTTGGTCTGTGTAATTGCACATCTCTTGCTATTTTTATTTTTAGGTTTATTTCAGTCCAAATGTCCAAATCCAAATGTAATAAACCCCAAGGAAAAGCAGGAAGTGATGTGGCTCTGTGTCCTGGACCTGACACCAGCTCTTTCCATGACACCAGGAAAGTCATGGGGCCATCGCACTTTTTTGGTTTTGAGGCAATAAGGAGATTTTGAGTTTACTTACACACTTGATATTTTCCACTTTTGTAGCTAAGGCCCTAAATTTAAGCATTTTTTATGTCCAAGAAGTTTTTGTTTTGTATGAATGAGTATGAATTTCATTTTCAGTTTTTTTTTTTTTTTTTTTTTGTATTTCTGGCCCTGTAGCTTTTATTCCAGTCATATGACACACCTACAGCAGCAGCAGATTGTGAAAGAACAGGTTGTTGTAAAAAAAAGGATGTAGAACACTTCATCAGGGGGTAAAAGGAGGAGTTTTAAATGCAACATTAAGAAAAAAAATAATAATCCAGGCGAGGACAAATGTATTAAAATTGCTCTTAGGTCTGAAAGGGTTAAAAGTGATTCTTTTTCTGTACAGCCGTTACATTTGTAATTTAGATTAATTATGCAATAAAATTTTAAACCTGTCCAAGAGTGTTCAAATTTGAGAGGAAACTGAAATCTGAATTTAAAACTAATTCAAGAATCCAATGCATTTCAGAACATGTTTTAGAGGTGTGAACGACAGGGATTTTTTTTTTTTTTTGCATTTAATCTTGTGGCCTTAGGAGCTCCAGTGCTCTCAGCCCACCTCTTTAATTCAGATACTGCAGTGAATCTTTCTCCTCAACTCCACGTCTTTTGTAATGTTTTCAGCACAGGTTCAGTTCTGCCTTGTGAATGTGACTTTAGCGTTGTCAACCTTTGTGGGCTGAATGTGTCTCCTCTCTGTTCCAGGCGGTGAAGATGGTGGACCGTTTGGCTAACAGCGAGGCAAACTCCAAACGCATCGCCGTGGTGGAGAGCTGCTTCGGCGCCGCAGGTCAGCCGTTAGCCATTCCCGGCCGCGTCCTGATCGGGGAGGGCATCCTGACCAAGCTCTGCCGCAAGAAACCCAAACTGCGCCAGTTCTTCTTGTTCAACGACATCCTGGTCTACGGCAACATCGTCATTCAAAAGAAAAAATACAACAAGCAGCACATCATCCCTCTGGAGTCCGTTACCATAGATACGGCCCCCGACAACGCCGAGTATGATCTGCGGAACGGCTGGCTCATCAAAACGCCAACCAAATCCTTCACGGTCTTCGCCGCCACCGCTACGGAGAAGTCGGAGTGGATGAATCACATCGGGAAGTGCGTGGGCGACTTGCTGCAGAAGAGCGGGAAAGCGCCGACCGGTGAGCACGCGGCAGTCTGGGTCCCCGACTCCGAGGCGTCCATCTGCATGCGCTGCCAGAGGGCAAAGTTCACCGCCGTCAACCGCCGCCACCACTGCAGGAAGTGCGGGTTCGTGGTGTGCGGCCCGTGCTCGGAAAAGCGCCACCTGCTGCCCAGCCAGTCGTCACGGCCGGTGCGAGTCTGCGATTTCTGCTACGACATGCTAACGGCGGCGAACGGGGCGCGACAGATCAGGCAGGACACGTTCAGCAACAACAGCGCCGTGTCGGAGGAAGAGGACGATGAAGACAGCAGCGATTAGTCACAGTGCTGTGGACTTAGACTGTACATAAGTTTAGAATGAGGCGTCCGTTTCAATCTGGAATCATGGATCTAACTTTGCGGGGCTGTACCTGATTTGTACGGTCCTCAAACTGGACTGTCAGAGCTTTTAACCATGTTAGACTTGTTTCTTCTCATTGACCTTCTGAGGTTGTCTTTGGAGTGATTTGTGCATTTTTGACTCATCTTTAATCCTTTATTTTCACAACGGGGTTTTGCTGATCCCCTCCCCTGATGTGCAGTTGTGATGGTGTTTACGGTGACGTCAGCTCCATCGGCCACTACAGTTTTGTAACACAGAAGCCGCCGGCGCACTTGTCTTTTATTTGAACAGTGTGCAGTGGTCCAGAGTACTTCCTCACTTCCCTTCTGCATTGTGAGCATCCTGATGGTTCACCACCATGAGTTAGACAACAACAATGAGTTTCACAACTCTCAGAGATCACAACAGAGTAAAGTTAACATCATCTAGCATGCTAATGAGCACTTCCTCATTCTATGTCAAAAACACTCTTTCTAATTTGATGCAGCCAGTACACAGTGGATTCTTTTGAGCTCGAGCTGCGTGTACTCCACAGATGTGCACTGGGGCATGACACATTTCACTCTAACACACACAGTGACATCAGGAACAGCCCCTTTAACCCTTTTCTTCTTAGATTTGACTCAATTCTTCTTCATTTTCTAATCTAGAATACTAAATACATGTACATAGGTTATAATGAGACGTCCGTTAAAGCTGCACTGTGGAACTTTTCTAGTGGACGGCTTGTCTCAGTGGAGAGTAGGGATGGGCATGATTTGTTGACTAATTGATAAATGATCATTAAGAATTTCGTCGATAATGTTCATTTCTAATTGATAAACTGAACGTAGGTTTCTGTGTGTAGATATGCAGCTGCGTCTCACACAAACACTGGAGTTGTGCCTCAGTCCCACGTTTGGGCTCTGGCTCCTCCTTGGAGACACTGTTCCACTCAGTGAGTGTGTTTACATGCACATGTGTATCCAGGTTTCATTATGGAGCATGTAAACGCAGTATCCCAGATACTGCAACATAAAGAACTGCACTAAACCTGCACATGTCTGATCTCTGAAAACATCACGACACACAGAACACACACTCACCTTCAGCGTCAACATCCTCTGTCACAGAAACAACACTCATATTCCACTGAGTCGGGTCCTTTAGTCCAACAGAAGCTGAACTGGATCAGGGCACAAGAGCTGTTTATTTATTTTTTTCTCCATTTAGTTTATGCAAATGAGTCATGCGACTTTAAGTTTGGTTTCTGTGAGACTTGCACAAATCTGCATTAAACACATGATAATGTCAAACGGGCTGATGTGGCTCTAGAGTGGTGATGTTTATATGTTGTAAAGTTGAGTTTATTTATGCAGATTAATAATAGTAATAATAATGATGATACTTATTACATGAAAATGTTAATGATTAATTGAAAATCAATCATTAATTCTCCCGACGATCGATTAATAAAATTTCATCAAATGCCCATCCCTAATGGAACTTTAACTGAAACGATGCAAAGAGGCGATCCCTCTAACAGTAACAATGTGTGTTCTTTTAATGAATGCAAGCTAGATGTTTAATGTTGTACTGTGGAACATTCCAGGCAGAGCAGTAACATCTCCCCAATGGCAAAGCTTCCCCTAGAATGTCCTGTAGTGCAGCTTTAATATTTAGAATCCTGGCTCTAACTGAACCTGTTTTTGTTTTACACAATGATGTGGATTTGTTTTCATTTTTATTTTCAGAAACTTCTAATACTGAACTAAAGGTGCACATGGGTCTGAACGTGACTTCATTTAAAGCGCCCATGTTACTCCATCTCAACACACACGCACACACACACACACACACACACACACACACCTACACCTGGAGTTGTGTTTTGTTTCATTCACACAAACCCTGCACATTTAGTTCTTCTCTCAAACAAGAAAACACTCTGTTCCACCTTGTGATGTCATGCAGTAAAACAGGAAGTGCTCCACTGTGTTCTAGAATCATTGGGATAATGTCAGTCCTGGAATTGTCTGTCTCTACTGAACTAAAGGGAAAAGGAGCTGTTGAGAACCACCACTTCATGACATCACAAGGTGGAACAGAGCATTTGGAGGTCTGGAGATGTAGACAGACTCATAATGCAGGTTTACTCAAACATGTGAGAATGAAACAAAACACAAGTCCAGATGTGTTTTTGAGGAGGAAACAACATTGTAACATGACGTAAATCTCACAGGAGTCACTTTAGTGTCATACAAGGCCTTTTCAATCCAACATATTCAGCATTCTGTTTATTTTGATCACTTTTATCTGGTGATTGTGTGACCAGTGTGAAGTTCCCGATACGTTGGACTTTAGAGATGTATAACACACTTCCGTTTGAAATGGGGAATAATGGCGTGTTTTTGCCTGGGAGCACAGAATAATGAAATGAAAAAATGAAACCTGGATTCAGTGAGTCTCTTTCTAAAGACTATAGATACATGCACAGACTAGAGAGTGTGTGCGTGCATGTGTGTGTGTTCAGTGAATGTGTGTTTGTGTGTGCCGTGAATGTGTGTGTTCAGTGAATGTGTGTTGAGTGAAAGTGTGTGTGTGTGTTGAGTGAAAGTGTGTGTGTGTGTTGAGTGAAAGTGTGTGTGTGTTGAGTGAAAGTGTGTGTTGAGTGAAAGTGTGTGTGTGTTGAGTGAAAGTGTGTGTGTGTTGAGTGAAAGTGTATTGAGTGAAAGTGTGTGTGTGTGTGTTGAGTGAAAGTGTTGAGTGAAAGTGTGTGTGTGTGTGTGTGTTGAGTGAAAGTGTGTGTGTGTTGAGTGAAAGTGTGTGTGTGTTGAGTGAGTGTGTGTGTGTTGAGTGTGTGTGTGTGAGTGTGTGTGTGTGTGTGTGTGTTGAGTGTGTGTGTGTGTGTGTTGAGTGTGAGTGTGTGTGTTGAGTGTGTGTGTGTGTGTGTGAGTGTGTGTGTGTGTGTGTGTGAGTGTGTGTGTGTGTGTTGAGTGTGTGTGTGTGTGTGATGTGTGTGTTGAGTGTGTGTGTTGTGTGTGTGTGTGTGAGTGTGTGTGTGTGTGAGTGTGTGTGTGTGTGTGTGTGTGTGTGAGTGTGTGAGTTGAGTGTGTGTGTGTGTGTGTTGAGTGTGTGTGTGTTGAGTTGTGTGTGTGTGTGTGTTGAGTGTGTGTGTGTGTGTGTTGAGTGTGTGTGTGTGTTGAGTGTGTGTGAGTGTGTGTGTGAGTGTGTGTGTGTGTGTGTGTTGAGTGTGTGTGTGTGTTGAGTGTGTGTTGAGTGTGTGTGTGTTGAGTGTGTGTGTGTGTTGAGTGTGTGTGTGTTGAGTGTGTGTGTGTGTGAGTGTGTGTTGAGTGTGTGTGTGTGTGTTGAGTGTGTGTTGAGTGTGTGTGTGTGTTGAGTGTGTGTTGAGTGTGTGTGTGTTGAGTGTGTGTGTGTGTGACAGGTTTGGAGGATTCTCATGTTGGTGTGGTTTGGTCACAGCTTCTGTCAGTAGAAGTGACACTTTTACTCTGATCAAGAAGCAATTTGAAGAAAAGGAGAAAACAGTTTTAAATCCACAGACATGGACATCACACTGGGAGAGTTCTGTCCACAAGTCACTTCAAGTCTTCTCTGTTCACACTTACGTCACAAACCAAGAAGACGTTTGGAAAGATGGGATTAAAGCTCTCCAGGCCCAGTTGTCTTCATCTCCGTGTCGTTGGAGTGTTCCGTTCTGTTCGGCTCATCAACAGTTCCAACCACACCTCAGTTTTCATCTTTTCCTCCCGGACACACAGCTCTGACTGCACTGCTGCATGTGATTAGAAGAGATGAGGGGCTCAATTCCAGCACATGCGTCTGCAGTCTCCATCACATTTCCTTCAGTGGGTTTGATCACAGTCGGGTGAGTCCAGCGTTGGGAAATACACCTGAAGTCGTCATCGCGTGTTTCCAAACGTCTTCCTGGTTTGTGACATGAGGGTGAATAGTCTATTTACAAATACTTTTCTGATGCTGTACAAAAATGTTGCTAGGTAATAGTTCTGGATTTCCCTAGTGTGATGTCATGATTTCCAGGAAGTCTTTTGAAAACTAAAAATAGCTCATATGTGATCTTAAGTGTGTTGTAATATTCACTAGTCGGGCCTGTCGTGGGCACTTTAACATCCACTCAGATCCCACTCCTGACTTGAGCTCATGAGTCAGGTCATGTGTGGACCTGAGCCTTTATCTTTTGGTTTCTGCTTTGAGTTGGAGCGTTATTTTGAACTTTTCTTTCAAAAACATTTCCACACAACTAGAACTTCTCCGTTATTATGGCTTAGGACTTGACATTGGAATTCTGGATGTCCTTTTTTTTCATTTTTGGAAATCTTCTGACTTCAGAAAGAACATTTAATATTAAGTCGTTTTGTATTTTTGCTCTCACAGAATTTTTGAACTACATGGCCTGTACCTCAATGCTGTTTTAGCTCAGACAGGATGAGAGGATGAGCTGCGTTCACTCTTTCACACGTGTGTCCAGTGAACATGGGGAGTTTGATGTCTCGTCCAGGCCTGTGTGATCATTACTGCAGCCACTTGTCTTTCAGTGTATGAAAGATGGAACTATTTTGGGGTTCAATATTTATCGTGTGATCTCGTTCCAAATAGGAAGTGTTCATGGAGGCACTTCCAGCTCCATTCACTCCAGGTCCAGTTCACTTAGTATTGAAAAAATACTCCTCTCTTTAACTGCTGCTGTGACCCTTGTTATTTTCACTTCAGATGTTCACATTAAGTCCCTCTACATGATCCTGGGGTTTTATTTCTCTATTCTGTCCATAAATAAATTCCTATTCCTAATAAAAATCCTCCTCCTCCAAACGGAGGATCTTAAATATATTATTTAGATGAGATTAAATGACAAATTGTAATCTGAAATTTGCACTTTGAATTAAATTTTCACTTTTTCTTCTAAAAATGCTTTTTGTTTTTGAACAAAGACTTAATTTTCCCCTTGAATAAACTGGAGAACCGGAGAAGTGAGAATGAACAAACACACAGTGAAGCAGTTTTGATCAGATGGAACATTTCTTTAAAGTGAATCGTGTCATTTATTAATGGACTTCTAATGCTCAAAGCTCAGGCTTTTTAACAGAGTTTAATGACATTTGCTTAGGATGTAAACTGTAGCTCTGAAAGTGGTTTCCCTCTGGAGATGTTTTAATAATAGACCTTATTATACACTGTGACTGCGTCGACAAATCACACTAAACTCAAACTGAGCTGAGTTTGTTCTTCCAGCGCTGCTGTCATGTCACTAAATGAGCAAACACATGAAAACTAGAGATGCATCCATACAAATACTGAAGTAGAAAATACTTCATTGAGCTGTTAATGGTGAAGATCGGGTATGAGCACATACGTAGAATCATAGGATCAATGATGGAATCAGAAGTGAATGTGTGCATCTCTACTTAAACTATGCATGAGTGTAAAATCTCCTCTTTGTGTTCTGTTTAAAGAGTTTTGGACATGTTTCACAGTGAGCGCTGAGACCACGATGAGAACATGACAGACGCACAAAAATAAACACTTCTCTAAACAAACGGTGTGCCCTTAGAAAAAAGAATTCATACATTTGTGGAAATTTGTACATTTGACTTTTGAAATGTTTTAATATTTTGTGCAAATACAAAAATCAAGCACTATTTTCAAGAGGCATTTAAAATGACTAAAGTCTTTTATAAAGTATGAACTATTATTCATGAAGACATTACTTTGGAGAAATTTAGACCAGTAAACCCAAACTGTACCTGAGATTTGTATTTTCGACTGAAATGACAAAAAGAAAGAGCGTGGGGTTAAAGGGAATCTTGAGTTTAGTTGAAATGTATAAGTGTAATAGTTTTGTGGCTGCAGAACGTTTGGCAGTAACTTCCTTAATTCCACTAAATGTGTTGCTTTTGTGTTTGGAACTATTGGTTTGTAAAATGAATGTGTATATATGAATTGGGGCATATGGATTTATTTGTATAGTTTTGGATTTTGAAAATATGATGCCATTTCAGAAATGTAACTTTAACATTTGCAGCTTTTTAATAACGTAGAAACATTTTGGACTTTTCTTTCTTTTAAGAGCTGTGGAGAAACGATATAAAGGAGCTGCTTTGATTCTCAGCTGCTCATGTGTTGGAAACAGTGACATTCTGAAACAGCTGAGACTTGTAGTTTATGTTTTGTCTGTAGTTGAATTCAAGTTGAAATGGCTCCGACTGTAAACAGCAATTTGTACTAAATCTGCCCTGTGCATAAACGTGATTCTGACAAAGCTGTGTGTTTGGTTTTGTTCTTAAGCACATGACTTTTATTTTTAGATCAATGTAAAGAGCAAAGATTTATCTAATATATAATAAACATTAAAGGAGACATCGCAAAACTCACATTTCAGAGCTTTAAACCATATTATCGAACTCCTGCACCCACGTTTTGTTGTCATTAAATGAAATCGTAGAAAATAATTTAGGTTTAAACTAATGGGTTTAACATGAGTGACCTTCACGTGGCACCGTGTTCTATTCAAGTGTAAGATCTAGATACACATCAGAGGAGGGACCAAGTCTCAAGTAAACTTCTTTGACCTCAAGTCTGAGTCAAGTCCAAGTCGTCTGCTTTGAGCTTCAAGTCATTTCAAGTCTTTAAGGCAAAACAGTACCAAATATAGCTTGCTAATTTTTCCTTTTTAAATTTCTTGACAAGAGTGCAAATTATTTAGGTCAAAATAGAAAGAATTTAGATTTAAGAGTGCTTAATAAATTATTTTATTGTGTAGTTTGCACTGAAATAGAAGGATCATGTTCTCTGTAGTTCCCTCTGTTTTACTGTATTGTACTGTATATTACTGTACTGTACTGTACTGTATATTACTGTACTGTACTGTATATTACTGTACTGTACTGTATTGTACTGTATATTACTGTACTGTACTGTACTGTATACTGTACTGTATATTACTGTACTGTACTGTATTGTACTGTATACTGTACTGTACTGTACTGTACTGTATTGTACTGTATATTACTGTACTGTATATTACTGTACTGTACTGTACTGTACTGTATATTACTGTACTGTACTGTATTGTACTGTATATTACTGTAGTACATTTGATGATATCACATCACAGTATCTCAGTTACATCCAAAGTAAAAAACAGAAGTGGGAGCGACATGTTCCACTTTATTCCTGTAAAATTAAGAATCACATTTATCAACTGTAAAGAGAACATTTTCTAAAAACAGATATTTTTTAGGAGAAGCATCAAGTCTTCTTAAGTCACAGGCCTCAAGTCCGAGTCAAGTCCCAAGTCACTGATCTTCAAGTACAAGTCAAGTCCCAAGTCTTTGTCTATTTTATCAAGTCTCAAGTCCTAAACATAGTGACTCAAGTCTGACTTGAGTCCAAGTCACGACTTGCAGGTCCCACCTCTGGTATAGATCATGGACATTTTCACCTTATCCCTGGTTTACTTTTCACTTCATATCATCAAAAAATGTCCTTGGAGATGTTTGTGAAAAATACTCTTTCTTCTAAATCCCCGTACATCATCATGTTCAGTGACACTGACAGTGGAAAAGATGTGACATGGATCAAATAGTAAAAATATGATGTGCCCAGACTCATGTTGTAGCTCCACAGCAGCTCATTCACTCATGTCAATGGAATAAACACACGTGATTCATTTAACTTCAGTTTGTGATTTTATTTTCAACAATCCACATTTCTGATCAGTCATTAACGTTAAAACATGTGAAGAGTGTTCAGGTCGTTTCTCTTCAGTCTCTTTTCTCTCTTTCATTAATACACTATTTTTAATTCAAATCCACAATACACAAACGTACAGTTTTTGAATCGTTATGACACTATGGATGAATCATCCAAATTAAACCAAATAAAGAAAAAGTATCAATGTAAATACATTCATATGTTAAGGAGCTCTGTAGTCGTTTCTCCTCTGAACTTGTGTTTGGACTGATTCATGTTTGAATCATCTTTATTCTCCTGGATTCAAGACGTCATTGCTCTGATCTGTTTTCAGCTCCACCAGTTCACGCGGCGCGCACACTTCCTTCTCCAGTTTGTCTTATTTCTTTTAGTAATTCTAACAATGCCCCATGGGTATTGTAGATTATAACAACAGCAGACACAAGCACTGTAGCTCTTTAATGAAGTGCTAATCAAGTGTTCAGTGGATTCACGCTAAACTGACAGGTGCTGCTCCTGTCACATCAGACTGATGTTCCTGAGCCCAGTGGTTCAAGTGTGTAACCCATGAGCTCAGGCTCACAGCAGCAGAGAAGTGACGCTGCATTCATGTGACCTTGGAAACTCAGAGATCATGACATAATGTGAGAGACAGTTCACAGCAGCAGCGACACACACGAGCTGCAACTACACACACTTGTACAGAAACTCTCTGAGCAGCTCCACTCTCACTCACACAGAACAACTCATGCCCATCTACACATCCTCCAGCGCTCGAACACAGGCCTATTCATATGAACAGACACAGGTGAGTCTGGGTCTGTCTGCAGGTGAGTCTGGGTCTGTCTGCAGGTGAGTCTGTGTCTGCACAGGTGAGTCAGTGTCTGCACAGGTGAGTCTGTGTCTGCACAGGTGAGTCTGTGTCTGCACAGGTGAGTCTGTGTCTGCACAGGTGAGTCTGTGTCTGCACAGGTGAGTCTGTGTCTGCAGGTGTCTGTCTGCACAGGTGAGTCTGTGTCTGCACAGGTGAGTCTGTGTCTGCACAGGTGAGTCTGTGTCTGCAGGTGAGTCCGGGTCTGTCTGCAGGTGAGTCTGTGAGTGAGTTCTTCTGCTGTGAGCAGTGTGTGCAGTCTTCAGTGTGTGGAGAGCACCATGTACAGCTCCAGTGAGTGCTTGAAGCTCGTTGTCATGGTGATCAGTTGTGTGTGTGGTGTCTCTCATGTGGCTCCTGGTGTTTGAGGTGGAGGTTGTGAACAAGGCCAACTCAAAAGTGAAGTAAACAGAAGTACATCTATAGTCACTGGGGTCGCTCCAGAACACAGCAGCATGTGTGAACATCACCTCACTTCACTGATTCAATGGAAAATCCCTCTGAGTTTGTCACCAAACTCACACCAAGAGCAACCAGCTCCCATTAATGTCCTCTGCAGCGAGACACGAGGAAGACGAGGGGGAGAGGAGAAGGGAGAAGAGAGGGAGAAGAGAGGGAGAGGAGAACAGAGGAGGGACTAGACATTCATTCCCATTTTTGGAAGTTGAAGGCCAGATCGTCCAAGTTTCCGAGAGCATGTGAAGGCAGCGTGAGAAACCTGCTCTGGTTCATGTGTGATCATGTGATCAGTCAATCCGTCTGTCATCACTTGCTCTTCTCCAACTGGTCCGTCCTCACTCACTGCTCTCTGATTGGTCCGTCTTCACTCACTGCTCTCTGATTGGTCCGTCTTCACTCACTGCTCTCTGATTGGTCCGTCTTCACTCACTGCTCTCTGATTGGTCCGTCTTCACTCGCTGCTCTCCAATTGGTCCGTCCTCACTCGCTCCTCTCCAATTGGTCCGTCCTCACTCGCTGCTCTCTGATTGGTGGTTCCAGTCCCACACGTGCACCGAGGCATCACTTGCAGCCGAAAGTAGCGTTCGCGGTCGCTCGGGGTGCCACGCGTGACTTGTAGTGATGACATCATCTTCAGGAGATGAGACCACGTGACCTCTGTGTTCAAACTGAGCGTGTGCGGCCTGAAGCTCCGCCCCCCAGAGCGACGTGTTGTGAATCTGCACCAGCCCGCTCACACCTGAAAGAGACAGGAAACCAGAGAGACAGTCAATACAGCAGATAAAGAGACGGGTGTAAAGGTTACTGCTTTATGTAATAACTACTTTACTACCAAGGGTGGAAAGTAACAATTACATTTACTCACGTTACTGTAACTGAGTAGTTTTTATGAGTAATTTGTCATTTTTTAAGTAGTTTTTGAAATATGTCATTTTACTTTTACTCATGTACATTTTGACCCAAGTATTTTACTTCATAACACTGGGACCCACCCTCGTTACTGAGTCAATTCAGAATGATAGAGAGAAAAAAAAAAGCGAAAAAAAAAAACCCAACAACAATAATCTGCGGGAAATGAAAGGAAATTGCGTGGGCTGCATGCGAGGTGAGCCACGGGACTGCGGTGCCACCCCACACCCGGGGCCGAGCAGCCGCTGATTTCATAAATGTAACACACTCTAGTCTTTTACACAGAGCTCAGCACACAGGTAAAAAATGTTTTGCAGTTTTCTCCTCATTTTAGAGTCTAAATGGTTTTGTGGCTCTGAGTGTTTTCTTTTCTGTGGGAGTTGCTCCAAATGGCTCCTTGAGTATTTAAAGTTGCTGAGCCTGGTTTACACTAACACCAGGTTTAAATCCTCGTCTCCCAGTGTTGTGGTGGTGAATTATTTTGCAGCACATAGACCTTGACACAGACCCAAAAATCAAAAACGACAGCAACAAAGTGAAGGCGGCAGTGTGTGTTGAGTGGACTCAGAACTATACTTCGCCCTTTAGTCCTGGTTTAGTCCTGGTTTAGTCCTGGTTTAGTCCTGGTTTAGTCCTGGTTTAGTCCTGGTTTAGTCCCGGTTTAGTCCCGGTTTAGTCCCGGTTTAGTCCCGGTTTAGTCCCGGTTTAGCTCAGTTCTCTTTAAAATGTACAAAGTTTGTCTGTATCACCTAAAAGTTGATTAAAACAACTTGTGCTGGATTTGATTTATGACTCATTCTTTTACATCAAGTAATTGAAAGTAACTAAGTAACTTTTACTCATATTACATTTTAAATGAATTACTTATTAACTTTTACTCAAGTTGATTTTTAGATGGTTACTTTTACTTTTACTTGAGTAGGAATTAAGCAAAGTAAAGATACTTTTACTTAGGCAACGTCGCGTCTTCACTTTTTATTTTGCGTTTAGACGAGTGTTTTCAGGAGGAAATCTGCTGCATACAGTGATGCAAAAGTGTGTAGAATTGGATTGTGTGTGCATGCCACATGTTTGTTTCTGTGTACTGTATGTTGGTGATGTAAATGTGTACACGACGTGAGCAGATCTGACCAGAGTTTTGCGTCTTGGTCAGTGTAGACAGAAACGCTACAGCAGAGCCTATTCAAGGGTGGGTTCAGAGTTTTGCATTTTTAAGCCCCAAAAATGTCATCATTGTCTAAACAAAAGGCACTTCCCATAAAATATTTTGTTGTTTTTACCCATAAGTGTTCTGGTGTCTTAGTTTGTCAGTATTTTTTCCCCCTCTGTTTACTGCCAAGTTTTCCATGTTTGTTTTGCTCTTCAGCCCACAGACCTGACAGAGCGATGTGATGCTGCAGCGCTGGAGACCACGACACGTTCAGGGACCCTCTGTTTTTCCCATCGCTCGCTGAGACCAGAGCCTGAGCCACACACGAGTCCATCCTCCGCAGATCTGACACTACAGTTTGTCCAGAGGCCCTTGAACGCACCACGAGGCCGCCGCACGCGTCCATGCTCCAGGGGGCGGAGGAGGTGGGGGCGGGGCTACGCACAGAGGGGGCGGGGTGGCAGGTGGGCGGGGCGGGAGAGCGAGAGTCCGCCTCCAGGACGCTGCCGTTTACAGAGCCGCACACGAACGCTCCGTCACCTGAGGAAGTGGAGACAGGAGACGGGCTCTGACACTGCACAGGCTGAAGACACAAGAGGAGACAGTGAGGACAACACTCGACACTTCTACACTTTCAAACTCTATTCCAGTACTCAGGAATAAACTCAATACTCAAGACTGATTCTTCCGATACCACGATGACAATAAAACACACTCTTAATTTAGAAGGAAGGTGATTTTCAGCATTAAATGGCACATTCTAAATGTCTCTGATCTGGCCAAGATTTTCAAACTTATATAAGGTTATTCATCTCGTTTTTAGATTTAGATTATCAACTTAATAGTTCTGAGATGCTTCATTCTAGTCTAGAGGTCGTTTAATGTAAGAGAACTTATCAAGTAAAATGATCTGTCCATGCAGCAAAATGATTTCACTACTTTCAAGTCATTTTCTGATAGATTTAAGTGTTTATCTCTTAAGCTTTTTTGATTTTCTGCAGTACTTTCTTTTCCCTATGTGCTCTTCCACTTGTTCTGATCCAGCTCATCATCATTCTAAAGACATTCAGGAAACGTTCAGCTCTGTCCTGTCAATGGCACTTTTTTATTATTGATACTTGCTCAAGAGAGTGTCAAACTTTGATACTAGTTTTAGTGTCGACTAGTATCTGATTTTAGATTTTTAGAAGTAGAGTGTATTGAAGGCTGCATCAGGTGGTGAAGTTTCTTGAGCGCATCACAAGTGCATATTAAACATTGAATTTATATTTTATAATTTATGAAACGAGGACAGCAGCGGGTTCGCTTGATGCGGAAGCTCAGCTCTTTTAATGTATCGTCTAACATTTTAAATAATTTTTATCATTCCTTTATCGAAAGTTTGCTGACCTTTTCTTTTATCTGTTGGTTTTATGGGTTATCTGTGAAGGACAAGAACAGTCTGAACCAGAGAGTGAAAGTGTGCGGCAACATCAGTGGTGTTCAGATGGAGGATTTGGCCTCTGTGTGGAGACATCAGGTGCACCAAAAGACTAAGACCACACTGAGCCAGACTAACCATGTACTGCACTCACGGTTCATGAAAATGCCCTCTGGGAGGCGCTATGTCACCCCACAGCAAAAGACTAACCATTACACCAAATCTTTTATTCCTTCTGCCATAAAGATTTTAAATGGAAAGTGAATTTGTTACTGTGTCCCTGACGCTCTGAGGTTTGAACGTCTGGTGTCTGTCTTTCTTTTTCTTTCTTTTATTATTTGTAGATTGTGCACGACCAGAGATGTACGAACTGAATTGCCCTTTGGGATTAATAAAGTTGTTGATTGATTGATTGATTGATAGATATATATTTGTTTGAATATTGAGTTAATGCTTAAACACTGAAATCTTATATATGTTTAAAGGTTCTACTGTGTGAAACATATGTGCGTTTAAGGACATTCCTTTGCAGAGACAGTCCTGTGGAGACATCCCAGGCTGGAGTTATACAAACAAGACTTGGTGGTGATTTACAATGATCTAGTGGGGGTCATCTCCTCACAGAGAAGAAATGCAGAGACAACCTGAAGGAGGATCCAAGGCATGAACCTTTAACTTCATGGGTTCTTTTTAAAGACAATGCATCCACCATATCAGACCACTGTAAAAGGACCAACCACATTATGGATCGGACTCGGGTCATTGGATCAGAAAACAACAAGTTCAAACGCTGGATCAAGGAGGCCACTGAAATCAGGAAACGAGGCACGGACAGCGTTAACCGTGATGACTTCTGCAGGGACAATTTGTGTGCAAGTAAGTGCACGGTTCAAACATGAATTTAATAAAATTAAAGTGTTCATTATTGTTCTGTGTAATCAGAACTATTGTGTCATGTAGAAGAGATTTGCTCCTTGTTCAGTAAAATTATAAACTTATAAACTTCTCCAATATTAACTAGTGGAAACGGGGTATAGTTTTAGCATAACCTTAAAGATAATCATTTCAAGTAACAGTAATAGTTAGCGGTACGAGGAAATTCAAATTGTGGGTGTAATATCAGTCGTAGTAGATTGTTCCCTTTAATAATAGCAGAAGTAGTGCAATAGTAGTAGTAGCAGTAGTAGCAGTAGTAGTAGTAGTAGCAGTAGTAGCAGTAGTAGCAGTAGCAGTAGTAGTAGTAGCAGTAGTAGCAGTAGTAGCAGTAGTAGCAGTAGTAGCAGTAGTAGCAGTAGTAGTAGTAGTAGTAGCAGTAGTAGTAGTAGTAGTAGTAGTAGCAGTAGTAGTAGTAGCAGTAGTAGTAGTAGTAGTAGTAGTAGTAGTAGTAGTAGTAGTAGCAGTAGTAGCAGTAGTAGTAGTAGCAGTAGCAGTAGTAGCAGTAGTAGCAGTAGTATCAGTAGTAGTAGTAGTAGTAGTAGCAGTAGTAGTAGCAGTAGTAGCAGTAGTAGCAGTAGTAGTAGTAGTAGTAGCAGTAGCAGTAGTAGCAGTAGTAGCAGTAGTATCAGTAGTAGTAGTAGTAGTAGTAGCAGTAGTAGTAGTAGCAGTAGTAGCAGTAGTAGCAGTAGCAGCAGTAGCAGTAGTAGCAGTAGTAGCAGTAGTATCAGTAGTAGTAGTAGTAGTAGTAGTAGTAGTAGTAGTAGTAGTAGCAGTAGTAGTAGTAGTAGTAGTAGTAGTAGCAGTAGCAGTAGTAGCAGTAGTAGTAGTAGTAGTAGTAGTAGTAGTAGTAGTAGCAGTAGTAGTAGTAGTAGTAGCAGTAGTAGTAGTAGCAGCAGTAGTAGTAGTAGTAGTAGCAGGTTTATTTTACCCTGTATTGTGTAGAGTTGTTTTCCAGTGTTGATGTCGGTGAGTTGGACGTCGTTGGTCGTTGCTCCATGAAGAATCCTCGGCTCTGAGCTCTGAGAGGGAGGAGCCGCCATCTGCCTCCCTCTGCTCCACTCTGCCCCCACCTCTCTGTCCTCTCTGTCCCCTCCGTCTGCTCCGTCCTCTCCGTCTCGTCCAGCAGAAGACTCACATTTAACTTTGATTTGTCCTGTTCGCTTGATCACATCTGACACAGAGAGAAAATAAAAACACACACACACACAGGTCACTTTGAGCCCTGGATCTCATCTTCTGTTTCAAACTCAAGTCAAACTGCTGCTGCTACAGGCCAAAGGACTGCTTCAGTGTTCCAGTTACACCTGTAGCTCGAGAGCTACCAGGATCTCTCCGCCTTGTTCCAAGTATCTTGCCAAGGGACTTCTAAGTTACATGTATTGTGCTGAATAAGTAAAATTTGATTCATGAAATGCCTTATACCACTGCACTGTATCATTTTGATGCCTAACTCTGTACACAAACAAATGGATAATTCTTTACGTTTATGCATCTAACTGTACCTCATCTAAGGCTCACTGTGGCTCTTATATGCTCAATTTCTTATGACTGCTAAAATGAGTAGCTCTGTGGAGGAAAACGTTCTTAAAGGAACTAGATGCAGCCTACAGTTTCAAAAAGGCGTCTACAATCCCTACTGACCCTGTGTCTCCAGAGCCTTCACCTGCAGCTCGAGGACATACACAAGTGTGTCTCATTCTCAGTTTACGGACAGGCCTCGTGTGGAAGCTCAGATCCTCCAGAATCCCCTCACTGACCCGAGCGAGACTCATGTGACGCTCATTCTGTTTTCTGATTGGATAATCGTTTTGAGATCTACCAAATGATAACATAGATAAATAGGCCATAATGTCCAATGTTTTTGACATAAAAAATGAATGAGGATTAAAATGATCAGAGAAAGTTATTTTTGAACATGCTTAACTCATGTTTATAAAATGTGCTTAACTCAAACTGACCTGTGTCATCTCCCCCGAGGTCCCACAGCAGCAGAGAGCAGCTCTGACCCCCACTGGACACAGCACATCTGCACAACAACACAAATATGAATGATCCCAACTCTGAATAACTCAACTCTGTTTTTTTAATACTTCTGGCATCTTATCCTCAGTATTTCATGGTTTCAAACTTAAAGCACCACTGTGTAACTTTTCTGGTAGAGAGTTTGCCACCTATTTGTCTTCATGGAGATGTGTCTGCAGAGACAAGCAGATAATGCCACCAGGTCAAGTTACAAGTCAAATCTATGGAGAGGTCACCCCGTTCACAGTAAGAACACACATATAGAATGTTTTTGAGTGTATTTTTGAGAAATAGAAAAAAATGTGTAATTGAATAAATGCAGATGGACAAGTCGGCCACACTGTGGAACCTGCCACGGTGGCAGACTCTACACCTGACCTCACAGAGTGCAGCTTTTAAACAACAGAAAGATGAACATAAAACTCAGTGGAGTGTGGACACAAAGCAGCACTTCATGACATCACCACGTCACAGGTGAGTTTTTTTTATGAGGAAACTGCTTTATCAGGTTAATGTTCAAAATGAGGAGACTCTTGCCTGGTTCCTGGGATGTGTTTGAAGCTGTGGATGGGAGTGTCTGAAAATCCTCCATGGACAACTTTAAAATCCCGCTCGGCGCAGAGACCCTGAACACAACACACAAGAATGGAATCATGTTACACAGTCTTATGTTATTTTTCACACCTTTAACGGGACTAATTCAAGTCTAAATTATGGCTAAACCAGGTCTAAAATAGTCCCACACCATTGTCACAGCAGTTATAACCAACTAACCCAAAGGAAGACCAAAATCCTTCAGCGTCTCTGGGTTAAACCTGTCAGGAGCAGTGGACCAGATCTGAGCCAGGATCATCCTCACACCGTTTATTTAGACTGAGATTAAATGCACTGATCCACAGGGAAATGACTTGGACACAGTAGCTCACAATATATTATAATAATAAAATATAAATGGTAATAATAAAATCTAAATAAGTATCAAAAAAGAGCAAGAGACGGGTGTCAAATAAGACAGAATTATATAAATGTAAATGTACAAGCCAAAATAGAAAAGAAAAATAAAACAAAAGAGGACACAGGGTTGTCTGTTACTACACTGTTCAAGACACTTTTCTATTATTTCGACATAATTACACATCGTCCTCATTTTACCTGTTTCACAAATGACAAACACAGAACTGAATGTTGTTTTTCTGTGAATTCTGGCTGCTCTTGTGGCTGACTGGCTGGTACACTGAGCGTTTTTACCGAATATTTAGAACTTAATATTTGGGGATTTTGATCAACTAAAGAGAGGTAGAGACGGAGACAGAGAGACGGAGACAGAGAGACAGAGACAGAGAGACGAAGAGACGGACAGACAGAGAGACAGAGAGATGGAGACAGAGAGACGGAGACAGAGAGACAGACAGACGAAGAGACGGACAGACGGAGAGACGGAGACAGACAGACGGAGACACAGAGAGACAGACAGATGGAGAGACAGAGACAGAGAGACAGACAGATGGAGAGACGGAGAGACAGAGAGACAGAGACAGGGAGACAGAGAGACAGAGACAGGGAGACAGAGAGACAGAGACAGGGAGACAGAGAGAGGGAGACAGTCAGACGGAGAGACAGAGAGACAGAGACAGGGAGACAGACAGATGGAGAGACAGAGTCAGAGAGAAGAACAGCACAGAGAGGAAGAGAGAAGGACAAAAGAGAGAGCGAGAGAGAAGAGAGGAAGAAAGAACAGGAGAGAGAGAAGAGAGAGTGAGAGAGAACAAAGAAGAAAGAGACAGACAGACAGAAGGACAGAAGAGAGAAAGAGAGGCTCAAGGAGAAGGAAGTGTGGAAAGAGAAATGAGACAGGGCCGTTGTGTCATGTGGTCATACAGGAAGTGCTCCACTGTCTTTTTAAACTCTCCAACCTTTCACCTGAATCATCTGGATCATTTCATGGACGTACAGATCTCTACTAGACAAAATATAAAAAGGTAACTGTTGAAAACTACCACTTCATGACATCACAAGGTGGAACAGAACATTTTGAGCTTTGGAGCTTTGTACTCACACTAATAATATAGAGTTACTCAAACATGTGTGAATAAAACAAAACACAACTCCAGGGACATTTTTGAGCAGGCAACAACATTTTAAGATGACTAAAAGTTCACAAGAATTCATTTTGTGACAGATGGATTGTGTATTTGAACTAGGGATGGGCATTTGATCAAATGTTCTTAATCGATCGTCAGGAGAATTAATGATCGATTATCGATTAATCATTAACGTTTTTATATTAAAATGATCATCATTATTATTACTATCTGCACTAATCTGCATAAATAAATTCAACTTTACGACATATAAACATAACGACTCTAGAGCCACATCAGCTGTTTGACATTATCATGTGTTTAATTCAGTTTTGTTCAAATCTCACAGAAACAAAACTTAAAACCACATCACTAATTTACATAAACTAAGTGAAGGGAAATCTCCTGCTCTTGTGTCACTGATGTGGTTCAATTTCTGTCGGATTAAAAGACATGACTCAGGTGAATACAGGTCAGTGTGACCAGATTTGTGTTTGTCAAAACCAGGACAGCGTACGGGGGGAGGGGGCGGGGACTCATCATCCACATTGAGCGACTCTCACCTGGTAAAACTTTTTCATGTTTTCGGTGTTCTGGTGAGCTTTTTCCCACTGGACACAGAAACATATGTGCTGCTTTGTACAATGAGCACATGGACTCCCACTTGTCCCGACCGTAATGGAAAGCATGGAATTTCTTGTACAAGTCATCGTTAAATACACATTTGTGCTTCGGCAGGTTGCAGACTGACCGATTGTGTCTGCTCGCTCCTTCTGAGTGCAGAGAGCTACGAGAGCTATGTACGAACCCATTAATCCCCGGACATGGACGTTTGGTCTCCCTACGCTACGCACAGCAACCTACATTTGGTTTGTCGATTAAAAATGAATGTAATCGATGAAATTCTTAATGATCAATTATCGATTAATCGACTAATCATGCCCATCCCTAATTTGAGCAGTTTGTTTTTCCGGTGTCCAGAGCTCATCTGGCTCCCCCTGGAGGCTGCTGTGACGCTGCAGGACACAGAGTGACACTTCTGTCCTGAGGACTCTTACTCTCCTTAAACTGCCCTGACTCTGGATATGATGACTCGACTTGTTGAGCTGCACTTTTCCGTTCTTTTTTTTTTTTCTATTTGTATTTTACAGCTTTATGTGTTTCAAAAGCCTCTCAGGACTGATTTACCTTGTTCTGTTGGGCCAAAAGTCGAAGTGGTAAACTGAGCTCCAAGATTTGATTTTTAGAAGCAGAGAATCCGGCCACACACACGGCTGTGGACACAAGGATAAACCTGTGATTATCCGATGCAGTGAATGACTGAAATGTGCTGAGGTGGTGTGTTTAAACATGTTACTTGTTTGTGAGGTCCACTCCAGGACACGTGTGGCCTGCTCCAGCTCGTACACGTGCAGGTCTGTGTACCTGAGGAACAAACACATCAACATCCCAGCAAGAAAAAGACTTTCATTATGATTCCACTGCATAAGCACAACCTATTCAGAACTGTAGTTTGTAGCTGATCATCATCATTCCGTGGGGCTGTGATGCTAACTGAAAGCACTACTCTGTCTGAAGCTCTGTTACTCACACTGAAAAAAACAATACAGTCACAAGCTACCTGGCATTAGCCGTCAGATTTTCAGTTAGTCCCTCAGGCCTCCAGAGTCTCCAGAACTAATGAGAAACACTGTGGATTTAAAGGTTAAAATATACCTGTTTATTCCACTGTTCACCTGTGAGGAGGAACAGTGGCCAAAAAGTGTACAAGAGTAATGATACTATGAATAATATCTTTCAAGTAGGAGTACAAAGTAGAGTCAAAGAAATTAAGAGTAAAACTGTATTTGGGAAAAGTCCTACTCAAGTAAGAGTAATTAAAATGTAACTGTTGGGGCGTAACATGTGATTTATAATTTAAAGGTAATGTCATTTGAAGGACAAAACATAAAATAAGTCACAAAATCTGTTGTTTTCAGAGGACAGACTCAAAAATGAGACAAACTAACACCAAATGTGAAGGATCTGCAAGAAACACAAATGTTCAAATCATTTCAGATTGTCACAAAGTTTTTGTCACTTTAGACTCACAGCAGGAAGAGGAAGCACAACTTTTACTTCAGTAAAAATTATAATTCACGCAGAAGAAAAGTACTCAAGTTACTAAGTAAGTTACTCAAGTACATGTAACTGAGTACTACCCCCTCTGTTCATTAGTAAATACATCGGTCCAAAAAAATGAAAGGAACACTTTGAAAACACATGTATGTTGCATACTGATACAAATCTGGACAGGACAATGTTTTAGAAACAAAAAGATGCTCCTCTTTTAATGGAAATGAACAACAGGGGCACTAGAGCAGCACCAATGTGACAAGTCCTAAAACACGACTGGTTTGACATGTGTTTAGTGCTGCTTGGACAACACTCATCATCACTACTGGGAGGATGAGGCTGTTCCTGAACCCTACACAAGTTACACAGATTGTCCAACTTCTCCAGGACGGCACATCCGGACAAGTTGCATGAAGATTTAATGTGTCTCCAGCACAATCTCCAGAACATGGAGGATTTTTCAGAAGACAGACAGTTCCTCTAGGAGAGCTGGACAGGGTTGTAGAAGGTCCTGAACTCATCAGCAGGATCCATATCTGCTCCTTTGTGCAGGAGGAACAGGCTGAGCACTGTCCCTACAGAATGACTCCAGAATGACCTCCAGCAGGACACTGGTGTGAATGTCTCTGCCCAAACAATCACAAACACTTCATGAAGGTGACTTGAGGACACCACGTCCTGTAGTGGGCCTTGTGCTCACCACCCAGCACCCTGGAGCTTCACTGCCATTTGCTAATGATACCAGAATTGGTAAGTCCACCACTGGTGCCTTGTGTTTTTCACAGATGAAAGCAACTTCACCCTGAGCACCTGTGAAGAGTCTGGAGAAGACATGAAGAACACTCTGCTGCCACCATTCTGCCACCACTGAGCCACCACTCTGGTGGTGGCTCAGTGATGTTCTGAGGAGGCAGATCCATGGAGGGAGACACAGATCTCTACAGGCTAGTAAACAGAAGTCTGACGTCATTAGGTATCAGGATGAAATCTTTGAACCCATTGTCAGACTCTACGCTGGTGCAGTGGGTCCTGGGTTCCTCCTGATGCATGACGATGCCTGACCTCATGTGGCAAGAGTCTGCAGGCAGAACCTGGAGGACGAAGAGATTGATACAACTGAATGGCCCTCATGATCACCTGACTTAAACCTGATAGAACATTCTGGGACATTATGTTTGGGTCCATCAGACGCCTCCAGGTTGCTCCTCAGACTCTACAGGAGCTCAGTGATGTCCTAACACAGATCTGGGACGACATCCCACAAGACTCCATCCATCGTCTCTTTAGGAGCCACGACATCGTCAAACATGCACACAATCACATGGGACACAGGAGATACAGAGAAGCATTCTGAGTTGCAGAAATTTAATTTTGGACTGACCTGCCACATCATTATTTCACTTTGATTTTCAGAGTGTCTATAAACTGAAGCCCTCTGTGGCTAAACATATTATTTCTTATATTTCTTATATTATTATTTGCTCTTAAGACATTGTTCTGTCCACATTTGCATTTTGGAGCAGTGTATATTATTATTATTATTATTATTATTATTATTATTATTATTACTGACATAAATCTACCAAATGTGCTCACGTTTTCAGAGAGTCGATGAACCAGTCGTCCAGAGCCTCCTCTTCCTCCTCTTCCTCCTCTTCACTGTGTCGCATCTCCGCGTGTTTAAAGTGTTTTCTGTGTTTCAGACTGAGACTTAGACTGTCACTTTAATAGATCCATTCATGATCCTAGATTGTTATTTTAACAGATCCATTACTGAGCATGTTACTGAGCCGCGTGCGTCTCTTTTCAAACCACCGTGTTTACTTCCGGGTCTGGCGTAGTGGCGTCACGTTTGCACACGGCGCTCTCTTGTGGACACGCGCCGCTACTGCAGCTTTGGTGCGTGAGTTTCTTTGAGCTGGACACTCATAAAACTGTAATATAATTAGGGGTGTCAAATTATCGCGTTAATTGCGATTAATTAATTACAGTCATATTTAGCGCGTTATGTTTTTTAATCGCGTTAATCTCATTTTTAATCTCTAACTTTAGTGTTTCTGTATGTGAGTTTCTTTATTATAAAACCTGTTTTTATGTGTTGTTGGGACAACAACAACACACACACACACACACACACAAAACACATTTATACATTTTTTTATTTCGGTAATTCCACTCATTGCCGGAAAGCCACACAAAACACACGCAGTTAACAGCGATGTAAACATAATGTTAACGTTGGCGGCGTCAGTCGCACAATGGACGAGGTCGAAGAGCCAGTAGAACAGAGGCAGCAGTGCACAGGGAAAAACACATTCGTGTCTTGGAAATTATTCTCCCGACGTGAAATATAAAAGAAAATAACAAATATAATAACGCCTGAAAACAACCTGCATAGGCTCATGATGTCTGCACTACTGTCCTATAGTGACCTGCCACATGGGGGGACACGCACACAAACACACACAAACAAACATACACAAACACACAAACACACACAAACGTCATCGTCATTAACCTGAGAACGCGCGGACCACGTTTCCTTACGTAGACACTGCGCGGACACCGACGTGCTCCCGTGAGCCGCGTGTGGATCGTGTTTTCTCGCGTACGCTGCGTAAACCGCACTTCCTCCTGTGCGCCTCTAAACCAGAACTAACACCAAGACTAAAACCAGGACTAATCCAGTCCAGGACTAAACCAGGACTAAAACCAGAAACTAAACCAGAACTAAAACCAGGTCTAAACCAGGACTAAACCAGGACTAAACCAGAACTAAAACCAGAACTAAAACCAGAACTAAAACCAGGTCTAAACCAGGACTAAACCAGGACTAAACCAGAACTAAAACCAGGTCTAAACCAGGTCTAAACCAGGACTAAAACCAGAACTAAAACCAGGTCTAAACCAGGACTAAACCAGGACTAAACCAGGTCTAAACTAGGTCTAAACCAGGACTAAACCAGGACTAAACCAGGTCTAAACCAGGTCTAAACCAGGACTAAACCAGGACTAAACCAGGACTAAACCAGGACTAACACCAGGACTAAACCAGGTCTAAACCAGGACTAAACCAGAACTAACACCAGGACTAAAACCAGGATTAATCCATTCCAGGACTAAACTAGGACTAAAGCAGGTCTAAACCAGGACTAAAACCAGTGATCTCATATATAAAGCATTTCTCTATCAATAATATTTTTAATATGGTTAAGGAAAGACTGGACTTTTTATTGTCTTTAAGTAGACAAAAGTTATTATGTTCAGATTTCCTCGTCTTTGCTACTTTACAACAAACAGTTTCTTATTCATGGAGACTTGGGCTCAACAGACAATTTGAAGAGATTTGTTGAACAATAAATGACTTTATAAAGTCACTTTTTTTTTGTTCTATATCAGTCTTTTGATCTGCCACAATAATGTAATAATGAATTTAAATGAAAATACCTCAAATTGAAGGCTTTTCTCAGCAATTTTTAGGTGAGATTAAAATGAGATTAATTAGATTAATTAATTACAGATCATAATTAATTAATCTCTCAATTTTTTTAATCGCATGACAGCACTAAATATAATACGAGTTTATGATAGTTCTGTTACAGACTGACAGGCTGAACATACATGTTTTCTGTTCCTTGTTATTTGAAGATTCAAAGAAATGTGTTGACATTTATACATAGTGTGTAAACTTTCATTTAAAATGTAAAATGCATATGAGGGTTTCACTTTCTTTTTTTTTTTTTTTAAATGTTGTTTGCAGTGATGGTGATGAATAATTTGAAGATATATTTAGTGACAGAATACTGACTGCCTGTTGTTGTGTGGTCAGACCTCTTTGTCACAGTCTGATGTCAGAGCTGCAGGTCTGGTTAGTTGGTTAGTTAGTTAGTTGGTTAGTTGGTTAGTTGGTTAGTTAGTTAGTTAGTTAGTTGGTTGGTTAGTTGGTTGGTTAGTTAGTTGGTTAGTTAGTTGGTTAGTTGGTTAGTTAGTTGGTTAGTTAGTTGTTAGTTAGTTAGTTAGTTAGTTAGTTAGTTAGTTAGTTAGTTAGTTAGTTAGTTGGTTAGTTAGTTGTTAGTTGTTAGTTAGTTAGTTAGTTGGTTAGTTAGTTGTTAGTTAGTTAGTTGGTTAGTTTGTTAGTTAGTTAGTTAGTTGGTTGGTTAGTTAGTTGGTTAGTTAGTTGGTTAGTTGGTTAGTTAGTTGGTTAGTTAGTTGGTTAGTTGGTTGGTTAGTTAGTTGGTTAGTTAGTTAGTTGGTTAGTTTGTTAGTTAGTTGGTTAGTTAGTTGGTTGGTTAGTTGGTTAGTTGGTTAATGGGCTGATTGGATGGGAGACTGTGGGGAATAGCAGGTGCCATAGTGAGGTGCTAGTGGTTGGTGTGTCCTTAAACAAGACACTTCACCTATATTCACAAGTATGAATGTGGGGCTGGCACAACTTTTATACATTTTTGACCAGAAAACTGCATGTTTGTAAAGTTTGCACTAAAATTACCATTGCACTTTAGTAGCAACAAAAGGTGATTTAGAGTTTAGTTCCACTTTAATCAGAAGGTTAAACCAGTGAACCAGATGAAGTCATGAGTGTGACTTGGCTAAAGATGAGTGGGTGACGAGGAGGATGTGGGTTTCCTCTCACATTTGCATTATGAACCACAAAAGATATTCACATAACATTTGTTCATCAATATTCAAACAACACTGAAAATATTCACAGCATAAACCGGTCCTCTTGTTTCTGTGGAGGAAGTCCTTTAGCTGAGATTGTTTGATCAAACAGCAGTGTGTTTTATTTGTGTCTTGGTTATGGCCTGTTTATCTGAATGTACTTCAGTCAGTTTGTTTCTTTGTGGGAGAAACTTGGTAGATCTTGTAGCTCTTTTGGAGAGTCTTTGAGGAGAAGTAAGAGATTGTCTCTGTTTGCAGAATACAAGTCTCTATCAGTCTTCATTTAGTGACACGTCCAGGGTCCAGAGAGCTGAAGAGCTGCAGGGGATGGTCGTGCATCCTCGAGAGTCATAGACGGCATCTAACCCAAACTATTTGCTTTAGTGAAAATGTCCTTCTTAAAGTGCTATTACTATTTCATAGGTCAAAATAGGGACACTACATATAATAATAAACTCCAATAATAAAATGATCAGGACGTGTGGTTAGATTTGAGTTCATTTGAATAATGATCCAACTGTACTCTGAGGATTTGAACATTTCTGTTTGCTCTAATAAAAAATTAAAGTCTGAAGGTTTGATAATGGCCAATCAAGATAATTAAGATCGAAAAGGCCAATTTTGGAGCTTTTACTGAGCGGAAAAAGGCGATACCGGGCATGACAGTGCAACGTGTCCACTACAGGTAAGGTGTACTGTTACATGTGTACAGCAGAGGTGGGTAGAGGAGCATTAAATGGTACTTAAGTAAGAGCAACATGACAACTATTTTCTTTCTTATTTATCTCCAAAACCAAAATGAAAAAACGGATAATGATTCGTTACTATACTACACGCCCACTACTCCCCTGCTCATAATACATGACCTTTACTTAATCTGTAACTTAATCTGTTTTTTTTTTTTTTTTAGGTTCTTCTGCTCACAGAAGCAAAAGAACTGCTTCCAAAAGATCCTGTCCTGGTTCACGTGCCAACTGTTTCAGCGGTGACACGGTGGACTAAGATGAGTGAGGGGGCGTGAGGGGGCGCTGGGTAGTGGGCAGGGTAGGGTCAGGGTTAGGGCGTGATCACTTGGTCACTTTATTGAATCCGACTGGGGGCTCATAGAAAAATCAAATAGTGGGAGTGCTGTTTATTTAGGCTTGTGTTAAGAGACATGGGAGTAAATAAAGGCAGAATTCAGGGGAGGGGGGATTTGCTCTGATAACACGATCCGGTCTGTAGGTGCTCACTTTGTTGAATCTCCTTTGGGGTTAAAACTAGAAAAAAATAGTGAGGGTGCACTTTATTTAGGCTTGTGTTTGGAGACATGGGCATAAATAATGTGTTAACCCCCTGATGGGTGAAAGAAATCGAGGGATTGATGGAAAAAACAGAGACAAAAAGAGAGGAGCCCAAGCAAACACAGCCCCCGCTCATGTCACACAAGAACCACACAGCCCCGAGCAAAAAGCCCCGAACCCCGTACAGGTGGAGCACCCCCCACAAGAGACACGGACACGTCCCGTCTGTAAAAGTCCACATCCAAAAGCTCATGTGGACTTGTGGGAACATGTGTCTAAAGTTTGTCTGCCACATGTTTATTTGAAGATGTCACCTTTTCCTCACAGTGAAGGAGGGTCGAAGGACAGGGGACGTAGTGCTTTAAATGATGATTCAGAGTGAATCACTTCTTTATTGATATCAAAGGTATTCATTAAGTTGTTATTGCCTGAATCATTCTTAATAAACCACAGATTTTTAATTCATGCTTTAATAAAAAAAAAAAAAAACCTCAAATGCGGAGCATGGTGTTTTCAGGACGCGGCATAGGGCAGATCATTGCCGCTTGCGACTATATTTTTGAATAATAATAAATTGTATTTATATTGCACTTTACATAAATGAAACTCAAAGTGCTACAGTGAATAAAAGTGCATCAAGCTAAAACTCTTACAGTGCACAACACAGAACCAATAAAACACAATCAACAAAAGTTTTATTTATAATTATAGTTTCTTTTAAAGTGACAGATTTTGATGATTCTCTAAATTTTGTTTGATTCAGTTTGGTGAGATAATACCTGTTAAATATAAATTATAGTTTTACAAGCAATTTGTGAGGAAAAGTTGAAAAATAACGCACTGGCCACTAAATGTGAAGTTAGAACCAGAGCTGGGTAG